TCCCGAGCTCCACTCTCCTCTTTTTCTGCAGTGATGACTCATCCCCATTAGAGGATTCATCTAAGAGGTGAGGGCTCGGGACAGAAGAAGCCTCTTCCCTCACGACCAAACCTCGAGAGGAACATTCTATTTGGTGCGGTGGATTACAACCCCCTCGAGCTGGTTCAGCTAAGGTAAACTGCGTTCCCGCAATAGCAACGGCTTGTCGGAATGCAGGGACTGGGGTCGTGCGTCTGGATACCCCTCGACCTGCCATCGTAAAGAATTGTATTAGTAGTTAACGACGCATGACCAACGATGTAATGTGAAGGAAGAAGCTTACCAGACGAAACCTTAGGGCCGTAACGTCTCACGAAGGAAGGCCAATCTCGAGTCTCTACTGCATGGGGCAATAGACGAGCCACCCAATCCTTTATGTCAGCAATAGGGCGGGGTAGACGCCCCATAACTACAAGCAAGAAGCAGACAAACTATAAGGAACGAAGAAGAGAAGAAAGAACAAAAAGAAGAAAGAAGTGGCGACACTCACGTTTATCATTCCACCGCTCCGGGAACCTAGCAGGGTCGGATACGATGTGGGCAGTTCTGACGAAGAAATACTTGTGCCAGAACTTACGACTCGCCCGGTCGTCGGTTCCAACTACTAACCCTTTTGTTCCACGATGCCTCAAATGCACCATCGTGCCCCTATGAAAGCTCGACGAGAACAGATGCAAGAGGTGATGGATAGTCACCTCACACCCCGCCAACTCCGCATACTTCGTCAGCTGCAGAAGTACCTTAAGCGTGTACGGTGAAAGTTGTGCCGGGTAGACTTGATAAAATCTACAAAATTCCTCCGCTAGCTGAGGAAGAGGGAAAGAATAACCAATCACAAAAGGGTACTCGTAAAAGGCGTTGTACCCAGGTCTGTGGACTTCCACGAAGTCCATTCCCGCCAAAACCATATCTACATGGGCGGGAATGTTGTATTTTGCACGGAGAGCGTCTATATGAGCTCGGTCCGTCTCAGAGATCACTGGGGGAGGAGTAGGAGAAGGATCCTTGAGCAAGTCACTCCGGGATAAGGGGTGCCTCGACAGTAGCTCCTCCACGGTAGGAAAGCTACCCCATCTTCCACCATTATGTCCTCACCACTGGAGGGAAAATCCACGGACAGCGGGTCCGCCTCAGAAACCCCTTCGTGGGATAGATGTGTTCTAGGCATTGTTGTGGCAGGAAAGATATTAGAGTAGCAGAGGAAGTGTAGGTGAAGAATGAAGGAAGAAAGAGCATAAAAACTGCGAGAACGAATGCCGGAAAGACGAGGATGAGTAACCGGAGGTGAAATGGCCAAGAGTTTTCAAAATAACAAATCCTCCACCTATTTATAGGATTGGGTAGCATCGGGATCAAAGCCAAAAGCAGCAGAGTGGCACCGGAATCGAGGTGAAAGGCTGCAAATTGGTACCAGAAGCGACATGCCGTCAACCCCAGTCTCGAAAACGCGCGTAATGATGACAAAAAGGCAGATGACGTCATTTCATGATGAGACACAGCACTGATACCTTGTTGAGCACGTTGACCCCCTGCAGTTGACCAGGATGTGGTACTTCACGAAACCAAATTTCTCTGCGAAGGGCAAATGGTGTCCGCTTATCGAGGACGCGTCGAATTGCGACCTCTACAAGCGGAGGGACTAACTGTATGGGTCCAAATTTGGATAACCACGACCACAACCACAGACGATCACGACCAACGGCGAGGTCCTCACAGCTTAACGTGACTCCGATACGAGGTGCTAAGGAGGTTCCTTGGAGGGGGCCCAGGAATATGTTTTGTAGGATCCAGAAGGGATTTTTCCCTTCTATATAATGAGGGGAATAACTTTGTAAAGGGGGAGGCTTCTTTTTCTTTTCTCTCTCTCAGTAACATCTCTAAGATATAGCGACAATTGTAATACTTTCCGATAAGCATTTTCTAACATCCAATCACAGATCTTCATGAGATTAAACAATTTTTGTGTGTTCATTGCCTATCTTCTTTCGTTCTAAGTGATTATTATTCTTTGCTAAGATTTACCCTTTCATTTTTATTGATTGATTTGTTTAAAAAGGTTGTGATATCTTTTGATCAAAACAACGACCATTTTCTAACCTTCATATTATGACTTTCCTTTTTATATTTTTTTTACTTGGTGTGAATTTTAAAGTTAGTGACAACAATATGATTTTTAAAATTTTGATTTGGTGATATTGATATTCGGCCTCTTAAAATATTATACAAAAATCACACCTACTAAATACGGTAGGATTCGAATTCCTTTTCCTCTTTTCCGTTTCTATTTTATTCTCGATTTACATTTGTTCCATTCAGTTTGTTCAATTTTAATTCGGTAATTCAGTTTTCATCTAATTATCAACACCCAGCGGAGAGCTTGGTTAAACAACAAACTTTCTTCAATATGGAGTAATTGATATATTGCGTCGTTGTACATTATATTTAATTTCTCTCATATGGTACTGAAGACGGCCGCCGCTCTACAAGTTTTGCTTTTTTGGAAAAAGAAAAATAAATTGAATTTATCCTTCTCTCAATAAATTCCGCTTAACCAATTCTGAAACTGCTCTGGTAGATGGATATCAAACAAGAATATACTCCCTCCGTTCCAATTTATGTGAACCTTTTTGACCGAGCACGTAGTTTAAGAAAAAATAAAGATTTTTAGAATTTGTTGTTCTAAACAAATTAAAAAAGGGCCCAGAGTATTTATGTGGTTATAAAAGTTTCTCATTTAGGATAGAATTGTAAGTTTAAGCTAAATTGTTTTTGTTTGCTCAAAAGTTATCACATATCTTTTGAGTATAAAACAATATAAATAAATCACGGGAAAATCATAGCAAATCGTAATAATCCATTGGACCAAGCAAAGAACATGAAAATAAGTACTCAAGGTTAGGGGGAGAAACATTGAAAACCTTTATTGATAATATTGGTTTGGTCTGCCTCTCCATGAAGAGGTTCAGAGCCTTACAATGGTGTTTTCACTTCCCGTAAGATGGGTGTGTTTTTCTCTTCTCTCTCTCTCTCCTCCATAGTGATGAAGAAGCAGCCCCCTTTCTAGGACTTCCACTCTTAGTATTTATAGCTGTGAGCTTCGTGATCTGGCGATAAGTGGCCGTGACCACGTTGGGATCTCACCTTTATGGTGGTGGATAGGCCATGGCCTTGTCGATCGAACCAGATGCGGGTTGAACATCGTCAATTCTTAGTGGTCGCGCCATTAATTAATCATGAATTAACTTAAAACGGGATTAGCCTCGTTAATTATCGTGGGGTCGAATTCTGACCCATACAGTTAGTCCCTCCGCTTATTGAGGTCGGGCCTTGGCCGAGCTCGATGAGCGAATTCCATTGGCTGTATTTCGAGAAACACGAATGGAGATGTCGACTGTTGCTTCGGTCGAAGCCGAATTCTTTTTGGCGGTGGCCCTTAGCCTTGTAGAGTATTAGTATCCTGTTATTGGGCTATCAAGTCATCGTTCGATCGAGGTCGAACTCTCCTTCTGGGCGAAGGCACCCTTTTAGCTTACTTCGAGTGAGGTCGAGCTGCATTGTGCTCTGATCTCTACGTTTGTTTTGGAAGCATACCCGTCGGCCGTGACGGACGGGTCGTATGTTGTGCGGCCGAGGAGTATGAGGGCACGCTTGATACGTGCTCGGCGGCGGCCTTAGCCGTTTACACGTTGGAGATGGCCGTAGCCTTTCATATATTGAAGATGGCTGCAGGGAATGAGTATGCGCCGTGTACGTATTTGGTCACGTCCAGAATTTTGAAGGCGTACGGCACATTCTTTCAATGTTCGCAGGCCGTAGCGATTATTCTGACGGCGGTACGTTGGCGGATGGCTGAGAAGTCGCTTTGCGGAGCTTGTCATAATGACGCTTGCTTCGGAAGAACCGAACCGTTTTACGATTGGTCGTGCAGTTAATGATGACTATTGGGTTTCGCGAAAGCCATTTATGTTGCCTATAAAGGTGGGTTGAGGCATTCATTTCTCATATCTTCATTGTTCATCTGAGAGAGATTCTGAGGAAACTTTTTCATTCCGCAAATTCATCTTCTCCTTTCTTTCCTTTGATTGTGATAACCTTTGTCTTTAGTAGATCAACAATGACAGGCAGTTCTTCCCACGATGCTCTTCCGATAGACATTCCGGTAGTTGAAGGGCCACCTCCGGCAATGGGAGGTGCAGAACAGATAGAGACCGGAGAAGTTCCGTCGGTTGACGAGGTAGTTCCTCGGCCCGGAGGTCCGGAGATTGATTTCACTATCGACGGTGGAGTGGAGCCGGTGGATGAAGCCCCGTTGATTGGGGAGATTGGGATGGCCCGATTACGGGAACAGGGGGTCATTCCCACCCATGCAGACATCATTCTTGCTAGAAGCGGAGGAGAGGGTCCACACCAACCGCAGGGGATACTACGTTTTTTACGCCTATCCTTTCAGGTTGGGGTTCAAGATTCCGCTCCCAATGCTGGTGGTGGATTTCTGCCGTTATTACGGGGTGTGCCCGGGTCAGCTCACTCCTTCCCTCTACAAATTGTTGGCAATGTTCATCAAGTACGCAGAATTGGCCCGTAGGGAGGTCACGCTGCAGCATGTGCTGAGTCTCTGCACTCCCCAGAGAGTCCGTGGCACCATGATTCAGGCGTGCCCTCGTGGGTCGAGGGGCCTGGTCGTGAGATTGGATGACGAGGTCGACCCTCGCCCTTTCGAGCACTTCTTTTACATCAGGACCAAGCATCTGGTGGCGGATGCTACTGGGTTCCGAGAGGCTTGGAACCATGCACGTAAGTTCTTTAGTGGTTGAATTCCCTTTTCTTCCCCTCTTTATGATTTGTGATCATGAGCGTTAACTCGTGTCGTTTTTTGTAGCCGACAGGTCGCCGCCGGCCCCATTGTCTTAGATATGTGAGTGGGTCGAGGCCGTACTCCCCCATACGGTGGGGATACGCACATGGCGTCTTTGTGGGAGAGGCATGGCCGTAGGCCCGTGGCAGGTAAGAAATTTATTTCTTCTTCTGTGCCGCTTTGTTTCAACTTTATTCATCAACTTTGTTTTCCTGTGATCAGGGAGGGCACGCCGCGTCAGGGCCCCTCAATTGGCTTTTTGTCGGCCGGGTGCAGTCGCTCGTCTTACTGTGGCACCTGTGTCGCGCTCAATACCGAGGGCGGCATCAGTTGAATCTTCAGCGGTTCCTTCTCCGGTACGGGCCGCGCTTCGGGATGAGGGGCCATCGGGGGTCGTGCGCCCTAGAGCGGAATCGTCATCAGATGGGGAGGAGGAGAGGCCGTTGATAAGGCGTAGGGTCGCGTTCGCGCCGGCTCCTCCTGTGGTAATTAATTTGGACTCCCCCCCCCCCCCCGGCGGACGTGGAGAGGAATGCGGCTGCGGCGCCTGCCCTTGAGGGCGGACAAACACTGGGTGTTGCCCTGGTTGGCTCAGGTCGTAATGATACCGTCGCTTCGGCGACTCAATCGGGGGTTCCACTTGCTGAGACGGGAGGTAGTTCCTCAGCGGCTGCTAATGTGGGTGAGGAAAGCGCTCCTTCGGCGGCTGCGGCGGATGCTGTAGGGGGTGAGGATGAGTCTGAATCCGACTTGGATCCCGACGACGTCCGTATGTTCCAGGAAGGTTCCACCAATTCAGCGGTGCGCAGGGGGCGATCTTGCTTCATCGAGGTTCCCACGGAATTGAACTTATTGCTCCAAGGGGAAAGCTTGGTGCCGCAGTTCGAGCTGCTATGCTCGGAGGCCGAGAATGCGTCGTTGAGGGGCGTTACGGATGTCGGACTGATGAATGAAGTAGTCGTGATGGGCTTGAGGGTATGTACTATTACGTCGGTTCGCTTCTTCTTTGCCTTAAGTTTATTCTTTTATTCTAATCGTTGTCTTTGCTTTGCAGTCTTATCTGTTGGAGGTGGAGAGCATCCGTCGAGCCAAGGTCCGCTCGGGGATATTTTGCGGGCGCTGGAGAAGTATCGCCGCTATCGAGATCAGTGCTGAGAGTTGCGCGTGCGCTTGAGGAATGATCCTCGCAGCCGGGCCTTGGTCGAAGAGCTGGCGAGGCGGGAGCTTCAGATGCAGCAAATACTTGGTAGGACGAGTGCTCTCGAGGAGCAGCTCCGCCGAAAGGATGAGGAGCTTGAGGCGGTAAAGAGGGTCGCAGCTGAGTGCGAGCGCCGGGGCAAAGCCAAGGCGGCGGAGGCCGCTGCGGCATGGAGCGGGAAAGTGACCGCGTTGGAGGGTGAGGTCGCGGCATTGAAGCTTCAAGTGAGGGATGCTTCATCGAGGGCCGGGGCGTTGGAGGAGGCTATCCGCGTGCACGAATCCCAACGGGCACTGGAAAGGGATGCTGCGGCCTTTAGAGAAGCGAGCCTCGAGGAGCGGATTGGTGTCTTTGAGCAGGACGCCCAGGTCATGGCGGACCGGATCACAGCCTTAGAAGAAGAGAATCAGCGGCTACGGGATCAAGCCGCTTCTTCCAGCCATGCTGGAGAACTTTGGGTCTTTGTCGAGGCCCAACGTGATGTATATAAGAGTTTGTGGGAGGTTGGCGTCGTGACCAAAGCTGCTTTCGAGGGGGCACGTCAGAAGGCTCGTGAGGCACGTGCCGACTGTGGTTTTGACGCGGCGACGCCAGAGGCTGACGCTGGTGCAGACGGTGGCACAGACGGCACCGAGTAAAAAGATGTTTATGCATTTTTTCTTGTCTTGTTCGCCGTTTGGCGTTTAGGTGTTTCTTGTTTTTTTATTTTTATTTTTTTTATTTCTTGTATTGATCGGCCTTGGCCGGGTGTAAGCGGGGATGAACCGCAATTGACTTTGTAAATATACAAATTTTCTTTTCCATTGTCTGCCTTGTGCTTGTTTTGTGTCACTGTTTTTCTTTCGTTCTTTAGAGTTTTTGTTGCGCTTTTTGTTGACCGTTCACGTTGGCGGCCCTAGTCGAATTTAAATCGACGACTTTAGTCGTGATAGAATCGACGGCCTTAGCCATAAAGGCAACTTCGACCGTCGTCGGGTCGTTTACTCACCGTAGTCGAATCTAGGTCGACCGTTGGCGGCGATGGCCTTAGCCATAATATAGTTGATGGCCTTGCTTTTTCAACTCGGTGCGGGCGAGTCTTAGCCGTTATTTGGCGATAGCGGCGCTTAGCCTTAGTCCCAGTTCGGACGCGGTCGAACTACCGGTCGTGATGGTAGAAAACGCGGCCTTGTAGTTTGACCGGGGCCGAACTTTACGTGGCCCGAATCTTAATTCGAGTTGGGAGAACTTACTTGAATGGCGAGGGTGCCTATCCTGCGCTCCGATTTGTTGGAGGTCGGGCTTTGCTTTCACAGATGAAGGCGTTTGGCCTGAGTCTCGGTTCAACTGTGGTTGAACTTTGCTAAAGTTGAGGACGAAGGCGTCCATCTTTGCAGTTCGAGCGAGGTCGAGCTCGTTGGATTTAATGGCGAAGGCACATAGTCCGAGTCTTGGTTCAACCGTGGTTGGACTTTGTTAAATTTGGTGGCGAAGGCACATAGCTTGAGTCCCGGTTCAACCGCTGTTGAACTTTTTGGTGAAGGCACGTAGCCTGAGTCCTGGTTCAACTGTAGTTGAACTTTTTTGGCGAAGGCGCATAGCCTGTCTTGGTTCAACTGTAGTTGAATTTTACTGGCGAAGGCACATGGCCTGAGTCCCAGTTCAATTGTAGTTGAACTTGTTGGTGAAGGCGCATAGCCTGTCTTGGTTCAAACTGTAGTTGAACTTTTTGGCGAAGGCGCATAGCCTGTCTTGGTTCAACCGTAGTTGAACTTTTTGGCGAAGGCGCATAGCCTGAGTCTCGGTTCAACCGTAGTTGAACTTGTTGGTGAAGGCGCATAGCCTGTCTTGGTTCAACTGTAGTTGAATTTTTTGGCGAAGGCGCATAGCCTGTCTCGGTTCAACCGTAGTTGAACTTGTTGGTGAAGGCGCATAGCCTGTCTTGGTTCAACTGTAGTTGAACTTTTTGGCGAAGGCGCATAGCCTGTCTTGGTTCAACCGTAGTTGAACTTTTTGGTGAAGGCACGTAGCCTGAGTCCCGGTTTAACCGTAGTTGAGCTTATTGGTGAAGGCGCATAGCCTGTCTTGGTTCAACTGTAGTTGAACTTTTTGGCGAAGGCGCATAGCCCGAGTCCCGGTTCAACCGTAGTTGAACTTGTTGGTGAAGGCGCATAGCCTGTCTTGGTTCAACTGTAGTTGAACTTTTGGTGAAGTCACGTAGCCTGAGTCCTATATCGTGGGTATTGAGTGCTGAAACTCGTTTTGGATTCGAGACCTTGAGCGGCTTATCCGTTGTCTCCTCAACCAGGGTATATAGGCTGTCCTGAGGCGACTCTCGGCTCTAGATATCTCCGTGCCGGTTTCTGACCGGAGCTCGTGTGCCTTATAGAGACTTTCCCTTAGGAAGGGAGGGGGCCCCTTCTTCTTGTTTGCACTATCTCAGATTGGAGAGAGAGAGAGAGGACTTAGATCTTGATTTGAGATGTTCGAGTTCCCCTTCGAGTTTGGCGCTTCTTTCCTTTTGGTCCAGGGAAGAACTACGTGATTTTGCTAGGAAATCCCCACAGACGGCGCCAAATTGTTTGCTCAAAAGTTATCACATATCTTTTGAGTATAAAACAATATAAATAAATCACGGGAAAATCATATCAAATTGTAATAATCCATTGGACCAAGCAAAGAACATGAAAATAAGTACTCAAGGTTAGGGGGAGAAACATTGAAAGCCTTTATTGATAATATTGGTTTGGTCTGCCTCTCCATGAAGAGGTTCAGAGCCTTACAATGGTGTTTTCACTTCCCGTAAGATGGGTGTGTTTTTCTCTTCTCTCTCTCTCTCCTCCATAGTGATGAAGAAGCAGCCCCCTTTCTAGGACTTCCACTCTTAGTATTTATAGCTGTGAGCTTCGTGATCTGGCGATAAGTGGCCGTGACCACGTTGGGATCTCGCCTTTATGGTGGCGGATAGGCCATGACCTTGTCGATCGAACCAGATGCGGGTTGAACATCGTCAATTCTGAGTGGTCGTGCCATTAATTAATCACGAATTAACTTAAAACGGGATTAGCCTCGTTAATTATCGTGGGGTCGAATTCTGACCTATACAGTTTTCAAATTTAGAAAGGGATCATTCTTTTTGGAACGGACCAAAAAGGAAATAGGTTCACATAATCTGGAACATAGGAAGTAATATTTTTTCATTCTGAATTTGAGATCTATGGTTAAGATCGGAGAGATTATATATCCGTCCTAATACAAATCTTGATGATTCATATAAGGCAGCACTTGTATGCTAAGCAACATTAACTAACAAATCTAAGGACCGTTGATTATCAGACCAGCTATACTGTCGGACTTTGCATTACACAATGATGAATCAAAGAGGCTAAATTAATAAAGTAGTAAATGCGACAGCATCAATCGCAGTCATCAAATTAACTACTCAGTGTCCACTTGGCTGAAGTAAATTTAATGGTTTGCTCGACAAGAAGGATGTGAGCAGCCATTTACTATCGACTAATAGAATCCAATTCAATAGGAATACCATAGGACATAGTTTAGGGCTCGTTTGATACGAAAGATAAGGAATAATTAATTTTAGGTATTAAATACGAAATGAATTTATCTCATGTTTAATTGGGATAACATCGTGGTATAATTAATTAGGATTAGTTATCTCGGAGTTATTGTGTTTTTTTATTCCTATGGGAGGATGAGATAACTAATCCCGGAATAATTAATCACGAGATAACTTGTTTCTCAATCAAATAACCCCTTAAATAGCCTATAGTAATATTCATGTCTCACGAATGAATTTATGTTCTGTAAACTGACATTGTACACTTCTTCTTTCTTTTTTTTTTTTACAAATTAAGTTAAATTAATTTATAATTACACATAATTCGTCATATTAAATTTGGTATAATAGCCTAAGAAAATAATAAGTAATTCATGATAATCATAATATTGTTGGGCTAAAATAGCTCAAAGATAGTCTTAACATGGTGTGATAATGTTCGTTTTGGACCAAATTCACATTTTTTTTTCAAAAGGCTTCACATCGTTAAGACTTAAGAGTATCAAACTCCTTATAAATAGCTTATTTTTCTTCTCTACTTTCCACATATGACTTTGTTCATACACACCCAACAATCTTCCCCTTGAACTAAGCTCCACATGATCCATCGCCATTTATGGGCTAATTTGAAGATTAACTGTGTGGATCCCACATGATTTGAATATTTACGATCACCGAAGCCCAAAGGAAAGGTAGTATATGCATCTTTAAAGCTATAGGTAAAGGTAATAAACCGGCCCATTGGCGGGCAAATGCACTAAGTCGGGCCCTATGCAATTACTCCGTCATCACCATACTCGTCCCGCTAAACCATTAGCAATGATACCAGTTGTTGGGCTAAAAAGACCCAAAGCTACTCTCAACATGATATGATATTGTTCGCTTTGGGCCAAGTCCGCACAATTTTTTCAAAAAGCCTCACACTACTAAGAGTATCAAACTCCTTATAAATAGCTTATTTTCTATTCTACTTTTCACGTGGGACTTTGTTCATACACACCCAACAAATATAAAAGAATTTTACACTCCTTGTGGAAATAGCCAATATTTTCGACGATTACTTAGGGGTCATTTGGTTGGAAAATAAGTTATCACAGTATTAATTATCTCAGAATTAGTTATCATGGATTGTTATTTCACCATTTCATAGGGATAAAAAAAATACTACAATTATATTTTGGAATAAATAATCTCGGTATTAATTATATAACAATTTTATCTCAATCAAATATAAAATATACTGATCTCAAATTTAATTTTAAAATTAATTATTCTTTAGTCCTCATATCAAACGAGCCTTTAAGATATCACTTGATCTTATACTAAAGTCTTTTGTTTTACTTGGCTATTGACGTAATCTCTCAGAGTATATATCTATATTGCAGACATAAACACCAGTACAGCCGTCATCCGCTGACATCTTTGCCTCTTCCATAAGTTCCATTGATTGCTTTTCTTTGATTCGTCTCTTTAAAAGTGGCTATTGGCTATTGATGGCAAAATTTATTTCAGTTGCTATACCTATGTTCGATATCTGCCACGCACCCTTTCGCGACAGCAATATCCCCCATTGCCCACATACTATATACACCCTTGAATTTCTACTCTTCTTTCCACACAAAAAACTCACATTTCTCGCACACTGTCTGCAGTAAAATCTCTTCTTTTTACTTTGTCCATTTTATTGATCAATACTTCCAGAATGCAGTACCAAGAATCAGAGTCATCGTGGGGAAATCGACACAAGACAAAGGGAAAGTGACGATCGTCTTCGGACTCGTTGGAAAGGGTGGTGAGGCTGGCTTCAGGAAGTGCAGTGGTGATATTCAGCTCGAGCTCATGTTGCATGTGCCATGCAATAAAAAGGCTGTTTTGTGATTTGGGAGTGAGCCCAACGGTATACGAGCTGGACCAAGAACCTAAAGGGAAAGAGATGGAGAGAGCTCTCTCAAAGCTTCTAGGCAACTCACCCGCAGTTCCTGACTTCCTGTTGTTTTCGTAGGTGGAAAACTAATTGGAGCGATGGATAGAGTTATGGCCTCTCATATTAATGGCTCTCTTGTCCCACTTCTCAGAGAAGCTGGGGCTCTCTGGCTTTAATTCCAATTTCATTTCTTTTTCCATCTCATAATATTTATATTCTCTTTTCATTTTAAGAAAATAACATATTTATATATTTGGAAAGTCTTTAACTTTTAATTAACTTTCTATTTACCTTAATAACACATATTTAAGTTCATAGAAAATGTGATAACAAGTTTACGATAATGAGTTTTAAGACATTCTTGGAAGGGAGCCTAGAAACAACCATAAACTTATCTCCGTGCTGATATATAGGTCACGGGTTCGAGTCGTGGAAGCAGCCACTAATGCTTGTATTAGGGTAGGCGGTTTATATTACACTTCTTTGGTTGTGGCCTTCCCCCGAACCTTGCATGAACGCGGAATACCTAGTGACTGCATTTATTTTTTTAAAGACATTCTTGTATGCGCCGAAAGTCTTTATAAACCGCAAACGGACGGAGTACTAAAAGAAGCTTGGCAAGAGCAAGGAATTCCTCCATTTCTATATTTCATTTATTTAATGAGCTTGTATTGCTAGTACTTAGTAGCTAGGTTAGGCAAATAAAGTTAGAAATATATACTCCCTCCGGTCCACGTAAATCATTTACTTTGGGCACGCCTATTAAGAAAATATTAAATTCTATACAAAATACGTAGTATGACTAATTACCCTTAATTATATATTTAATGTGAGGAGTAAAAAAAAACTTTTTAGGGATATGTACATAAGGGTAATTTGTAAAATCAATTTGAATTTTTTTTTATTATATAAATAGACATTTATTTTGGACTAAAATAAAAAAGTAAATTTGTCACTTATTATGGACCGAAGGAAGAATATGATAATATACCTAATAGTATCATGGCAATCTGGTTGGCCTAATGCCATCATACATTAATTATTTCACGACCAACCATTTTTTCTTTCTGTAGAGATAAAATTAAGAATCATCAAATCAACATATTAATTTGCCTAATGCCATAAAGAAGAACAATATGCATTAAATAGGAGTAGCTGCATAAATGCAAGTGCGCCTCTATACCTTATACTAGCTAGTAGAGTAGAGTGGAAGCATTAATGCCTTGTCGGAATATATATATATATATATATATATATATATATATATATATATATATATATATATATATATATATATATATATATTTATATTCAGTGTCGAAAACGTCATATGAACCTAGCACTTATGGTACTCTTAATCCGCCATGCATATATTCTAAACAATCAATGACAAAAGAAAACTATATGTTACAAAGTTTAGCTCAAAGTAATAATATAAAACAAAGAAATAGACAACAATGTAGAGAGAAAGAATTCTTATTTCTTCCATATATTCAAGTGTATTACAAAATGACTTCTCATCCTCTATTTATAGTACTACATAGAGGTATACCAAAAGAATTCCATAAATATGCAATTAAGCATTTGAGATTATGCTGGAAGATCATGGGGGAGGTATGGGAGTTACAACCATAACTCCATAAGTATTAGAGTAGTGGGAGTTATGGAGATAATGGAGAAGAGTAGTGGGTATTACTCATTTGGTGGTTATGGACATCCACTATAATTATATTTTATAACACTCCTCCTTGGATGTCCATAATAATATGCCTCGTTAAAACCTTACTTAAAAAAAACCCCGTGGGAAAAAAATCTTAGTGAAGGAAAAAGAGTACACATATCTTGTAATGCGCATTGTCTGCTGCCTTGTTAAAAACCTTGCTAGAAAAACTCAGTGGGACAAAGCCTCAGCTAAGAAAAAAAGAGTGCAGCGCGTATCTTACTCCCCCTGATGAAAATATCACATTACTTTTCGGAAATGACGCATTCCAATCCCGTATACCAGCTTCTCAAATGCTGGGGTTGGTAATGATTCATTGAACAAATCCACCAAATTATCAATCAAATAATTTGTTGAACGTCCATATCACCAATCTGTCGAAGATCATGTCTGAAAAGAACTTTGGTGAAATGTGCTTTATTTTGTTGCCTTCAATATATCCTTCTTCCAACTGAGATAAGCAAACAACATTATCTTCGGTATTATTGGAATCTTCTCTTCAAAGAAAAGTCACACGTCTGTTGTGTGTTGAGTTCCTTGCTTTATCAGTTGCTTATCTTGGCATGACTTGAATAAGTATCAACACTTAACTGCCTTGTAAAATGATATTATGGTGGTACTCTCACATGCAAATAGATTGTTTGAAGAACGAACTTCAGGAAAATGCCTGCATTTGCATAACCAACAAAATCTTGGCAATATTTGTTAGAATAAATAAATCTACATCAAGTATTCCTTTTGAAATATAACACTAATTGTATTCCAATATCTCCACATGAATAAAACTATATCTCGCTAGCATATTGTTATACTCATGGTTCTAGCCAGATATATTAGTGCACCAATTGCACTAGACACAAAAACAAATCATGTACGCCATAATCGCTCTAATCAACATAAGGATTTGCCGAAACTTTATTTAATAAATTTCTTGGGAACCTTAATATGCTTCAGAACAATTTAAGTCCTTCAAGGATTTTCATTATATACATACCAAATGTATTGTCAGACCAAAATCTGAAATGACTCATTCACCATAGGAGAACATGTCTCCATATAACTAATACCAGGATATTAATAAAAAACTTGTGCCACAAGTCGTCTTTATGTCTATCGACTTGATTTTTAATTTCACTTTTTGCACAATGGACTATCCGTCCAATTTCATATTTTTCATGTGAAGTCAATTTTCATTGCGTATATTTCATTTGGCCAATCATTTATCTGTCCAAATTCCATAACAGATTTGAGCTCAAGATCCTCGTCAATATTAATAATATTGAGCGCTACATTATATTAACAATATCGTTGACGATCATTTTATATCGGTTCCATCGTTACCCAATAAAGACATAACTTATTGAGATCTCTTTTTCTCATTATTTTCAGGTACCTGAGCCTCTCTCATGAGTCTTATGAAGTATTATGTCATGGTGCTCTTATAAAGCACTTGCCTCCTTATTATGACCATCTTGAACATTTGCTCCTCTCCTTCTTCAAGAAGTTTTATCTTTGGAATCGATTAGTCTATTACGTTTCATGCGTTCCATAGACTATGTCCATCATGGACTTTATTCTATTTGGAGCATTAGTAGCTGAAATATGACATTTAGTTTTGGGTCAGCAAATGCGCACGACAATATTTTGCAAATGAATTATCACTTGAACTTCAAGTTCATATTTTCTTGTACGAGGATCTAAGTGTACTCATAATAATTCATTCTATGTATTACTTTTTTCAGCTGCTCATTTTCTCTCCCTAATGTTGGGATCACCAACACATATCCCCAACCTTCTTTGGGGACCAATCTTTGTGCATTGTGGTGGCACAATTAAATCATATAGTACATCCATATTTCTAGATGAAAATATTTGGTTCCTGGCCTGAACCAATTGTGATGGAGAGAATGTATCATAACTTGTTGGCTAGATGCGTACAAGTGCTGTTGTATATTACATAATACACTTCATACAAAATTTCTATTTAGAGGTTTGTTCTCATAACCAATGGTTTAGCTATAATTAGAGGCATACAATTTCTACTAAAACAGCTTGGATTTAAACCAGCATTATAATCAATACATTCTGTAATTGTGCTATAATAATTTGAGCAAGCAACCTTGCAAAAGCCAAATTGCAAGTTGATAACCAACGCACATGTGACCATACAATAGATGCATCTATTAAAATCATATAATAGTAAACGGTCCACATGGCAGGTGACTGGGCCCATATATATATATAACCTTTTATTCGTTCCAGAAATTAAGGAATTCAATCCCAACCTTAGCTGGTATATCATGAGAATAAGCAGCACAAGAGAATTCTTGAAGAATCTTATATTTCTTCAATATATGCCAATGTGAATTCTCAATCAATTTTCACATCATAATTGAACCGGGATGGCCAACCGGTCATGCCAAGTGATATTTATTTCAGTAAACATCTAATTTACTATGGCATGCGATTCTCTCATCATGCTTGTGTAGTACAAATAGAAGAAAAGTCGGGTAACCTTTTAGATTTACCCAGTATGATTGTAGTAATATGAAGATATTCAATCTTCCTTTCACTTATAGTCTCAATATGCATATCACTTGGGCTTATACATTTGAAACTCAAAAGTTTCGTTTGAGACTTACTACAATATCAATGTCATAAACAATTTCATTCATCCGGGTACTAACAAATTAGCTCTTCCGGAGCTCTTAATTAATTTTGTACTACAAGATCTTTTATCACACCATCCATATGGTGAATGTCTCCTTCATGGAGAAAATCATATCATAATAATTGTCATGGTCAAAATCATCATAAAAAAAATCATTTCTTACTTTAATTTTGCCTTTAATAACCCTTTATAAGGACGACAAAGTACCACATGTACGCGACCAATGACATATTCATGTAACCATATTGTAATATTCATTATCTTTATTTCTCTCAAACCTCCCTTAGAGGTGAGTTGTGGTATTCATCCAATCTTGCATAAGCACATTCTTATGCATAATTTGAATCACATATATATTTTCACATTCACTTTCAAGAATGAGTTTGTATTTACAACGCATATCACAAGTCACATAGAAGTATACCAAAAGAATTCCATAAATATGCCATTAAGCATTTGAGATCATGGTAGAAGATCATGGGTGAGATATGGGAGTTACAACCATAACTTTATAAGTATTAGAGTAGAGGGAGTTATGGAGATAATGGAGAAGAGTAGTGGGTATTGCTCATTCGGTGATTATGGACATCCACAATAATTATATTTTATAACAATATATAGGAAATTTTACCTCTTGTACCAAAGGTATACACCCTATTTTTTATAAATTAAAATCATTTTAAAATATTATTTTTTATAGCTACCTTTTATATTTTATAGTAAAATAGGTATTTATGGTATATACTACCATTGAGGCATGAAATACGCTATTTATGTTTTTCCTC